CAGTTCTCCCCGCCTGAGTTCGACTGAAGCTGGAGTGAGGGAAACTGGGAAGGATGCAGCTTTGGTTGAGGGAAACATGAACAAAGCTGAGCCTGGAGGGTGGGGCAGACAGTACATGACAAAAAACCAGGAAGAAACCAGAGATCTAAATAACTGATAAAAGTTTAATACATTAAAACCAGATATTTACCACTTTTATAGTGCATTTGCCATTTCTGAACAATACAAAGCAGAGGCAAACGGTGACACTTTATAAAAATTTCCGTTCCCCTTTCCCATCCCTAAGACCCAGCCCGCCCTCAAACATCCCCTCCCACCCCCTACAGAACTTTGTCCTGAATAAAACACTTAAATACATCATAAATAGTAAATTATGAAAACAAAAAAAAAATAGCAAGAACTGTTTCTTTCCTTCTTGTAAAAAAGAACACGGCAGCAAAGACAGGCAGCCGGAAACCGGCTGGAGGTGTCTAATATAGACAGTTACTTGGGGGTACGGACTAACCCACTATCACGGGAGGGTGGGATGGAGAGGCGATGATACGGGAATTCAATGATCTGCCTGAGATGCCAGGCCCCCTCCTCCCCTGATAAAGAACCGCAATTTCTGGAGAGGGCTTACACAGCCCATTTTAATCTTTCCTGCACGAAGAAAGGGGACAAGCCACGTGGCACAGCAATGACCTTCGCAAGGCAACCATCTGCTGGCTCACTGTGAGTTTAAGTAAATACTCTCTAGCTTCATAAAATAGGGAACACCTGTGAAATGAACACAGGTGACCCCTTCTCCCGTCAGCCTCACGGACAGCAGAGCACTGTTGACGAAGATAGGAAGAGCAAAGAGGAAATCTCCTTTGGAGAAGGCTCTCAAATTCATTGGGTAAGTCTTCATATTTAGAAAAACAAGCAGAATACATTTAAAATCGCAAAACTGTAACAAGCATCATGGCGGCAGTGAGGAGGCTCTGCCTAGGAAGGGCTCTAGTTCACAGCCTACGGTTTCCACCAACGGTCCAGATTACCCCAGGTACCACTCTCTCCATTCCTGCAGCCTTGAAGAACCCATCGAGAGGAACAAACACCACACTCCGCTCCACGATCGCCAGTCTTCGGAGCAACCCTACGACCAGGCATCTCTCTGACACGTCTCAAGTTCTGATCTGAAACTGGTTGGCTTGAAACTGTGCATTGTGCACACAGTTTTTCAAGAAAAAAAATTAAAATGAGAGGTTTGGAGGCGGTTAAACACCCTTACACCACCAAAAACCTTTACAAAGGTTACAGGGATCTTCTTGAAGGGACCAGAGAGAAAGCGCTAACATCGGGGTGATGTGCCAGCCAGCCTGTCCTGAGCAAATGAAGAGTCCAGCTCCTGGTGAAAGGTAGATGGTGGGGAAGAAAACCACCAAGCCCAGCAACCCCACTTTCAGTCTGAAGATGGGGAGTTCCAAAAAATTCAATTGTGGAAGCCAAGGTTAGCCAGTTGGAAATCTGTGCCATCCAACTCTGGCATGGAAAGGAAGCTGCTGTCCTCCACTGTCCCAGGCACTAATGCCCACCCGGAGGAAGGGGAAGGAGAGAAGGTTCTTCTTCAGGAAGGAGACAGAAAGCTCCCCTAGCCTCCGTTACACTCCTTTTTTGATGACCAGGAAGAAGGAAACTCAGCACTGCTGGGGCAAAGGCTGACACCTTGGGATCACAGAGATGGCAGAATCTTGTTCCAGGCCTTCTGAGGTTTGATACTCACTGAAAAGAGAAAAGGTGTAATGTTCAGGGTGTGGGGGTATTAGGTAGGGAGGAAGGAGAGGAATTCAAGATAATTTCGGAATGGCTGGCAGAGTTAAAAGGTTTTCTTCCACTTCAGCTTCAGATGCCAAGTACAAAGGTACAAAAAATACAAAATAAAAACAGGCAGCTTAGGGGCACCCACGCCCTCTAGCCAGTTCATCCCTGCTCCATCCCACCGGTCATCCTCACACCCCAGATACTCACATGGGATAACTCTGTAATTTCAAGCTTTTGCAGGAGGGATGAACTAACAGCAGGGGGGAAAAAAAAACAAGGCAGAGAAGAATTAGAATACAACCTAGAAAGAAGACTCTCCTCTCAAGTCCCATCTCATACTCTTCCTCCATATTTCAATCATCTGGGATTCCAAAAGAGGCGTAGAAACTACCAGATTTCGATGCGCACGGTTTGAGTTAACTAGCTAGTTTCCTGAGTGCTGTAGGATACTTCCTCGTAGCCTCTTCCTGTCTTCAGACCGCAGGGGTGGTAGGCAGCTTCTAAGGTGGCCACCAACGACCCCTACCTCCTGACATTCACACCCAAACCAAAACCACTGCCATCGGGTCGACTGCGACTCACAGCGACCCTACAGAACAAAGCAGAACAGCCCCACAGGGTTCCCAAGGCTAAGCAGACTGCTGCATCTTTCTCCTGCAGAGCAGCTGGTGGGCTCAAATGGCTGACCTTTCGGTATGCAGCCGAGCGTTTAACCACTGCAGCACCAGGGCTCCTTCCTGACATTCACGCCCTATGTGATTCCCTCCTCTTCAGGGTGGGCTGGATTTAGCAACTCTCTTCTAATAAACAGAATGCAGCACGGGTGATGGAGGGTCAATTCCGAGATTAGGTAACAAAAGACTGGCTTCCACTTGGGCTCCTGCTCTCTCACTCTCTTGCCTGCTCCCTGAGGGGCGCCGTGCTGTAAACTGTCCTATGGGGAGGGCTGTGTGACAGAGAACTGAGGGAGCACCACGGACCAGCCGTCTGCGAGGAACTGAATCCTGCCAGCAACCACAGAAGTGACCTTGGAAGGAGATTCTCCCCCAGGTGAGCCTTCAGACAAGACCACTGCCCCGGGGAACAGCTTGACTGTAACCTCCTGAGAGACCCTGAGCCAAAGACACCCAGTTAAGCCACATCTAGATCCTTGACATACAGAAGCTGTGAGATAATAAGTGTTTGTCGTGTTCAGGCGCTAAGGTTTAGGGTACAGTAATGCACCACATTAATGTCCCTTCCAGTAACGTCTGAAGGTGTGTATGTCCATGGTCCCCTAAGGTTGTAATACAGTTCAGAAATCCTGATCAGAGAACGGGACTTAGCAGATTTAGGCATGTCGCACTCGACAATCACAACGACTCTCATAAACAAAGAAAAAATTTCCAAGCTGTTAAAGGATTGACTCCAGTGAAAGCTACAAGGCTAATGAAAATGCGAGAGGGACCTACATCAGATATGGAGGAACTGCTAACCATGTGGATTGAGGACCACACACAAAGGCGAGTCCCTCGCAGCACACTGATGGACACTGCGAAGGCACGAAGTTTGTTTGAGATGCTTAAAGAGAAAGCAGGACTAGACAGAGACATCGAGTTTAGCACTGGCTCTGGGTGGTTCAAGCGCTTCAAACGACGCTTGTCGCTGTGTAACATGAAAGTGAGCGGTGAGTCTGTGAGCACTGATGTGAAGGCAGAGGAAGAATTTGTTGAAACCTGAGACAAACTAATTGTAGAGGGAGGTTCTCTGGCCCAGAAAATTTTTAATATGCACAAAACTGCCTTATTCTGGAAGCAAATGCCTGAAAGGATCTTCATTCATAACATGGTGGTCACACAACGTCCAAATCACTTAATGTCCTATTTCACAGAACGTACTGTATTGTGGACATTGAGCAACACATGACTAATTTGTTATGCAACAATAGGTAACACAGATTTTAATAACTAGAAGTGAGGCGCCACAGGAACAAAAAAATATATTATGTGGGGGTGGCTTTGGAAGAGGGAAGTGGGCTGAGAGGAGAATTTAAGCGAAAGCTTAAAGTGCCCTGAACACACAGTAGAATTTTGGGCTTTAAGTGGGTTGTTGGTGAGGGATGGAAGGAAAGTGAGAAAAATCTTTATTTAAAATTAGACAAACGGGGCGTCTTGTAGGGTAAAGTTTTACCACAATGTTATTTGCAGATATAAGGAAAGTAGAACATGTGCCTAATGAACTGGGTGATCTAGCTAAAGAGATGTCCAAGCAAAGTGTTCAAAGTATACCACTTGGTTTCTTCTTGCTGCTTATGGTAAAATGTGAGAGGACAGCAATAAATCGAAGGAAGGACTGTTAAACAAAAAGAAGCCAGGACTTGATGGTTTTGAAAATTTTCAGCATCTCCAAATAGCAAACAATTCTAAAACTAAGTGGCTTTCTCTAACAAAGATCAAATCCAGGGCAGTGCCAGGAAAATATGGTCTAAAGATGAAACTGAGAGTCTGACTATAAAACATTTTATGAAGACCTCAAAAAGATCAAAGATGGTGCCCCAGAGCACCGCTCAGTCATACAAAAGGCCATTCAAAGAGATTAAGGGTCCCACAGATCCTCTCAACTGAACAACAGGGCCTTTACGAAGCTCAGGACTTATCAAGAAGAGATTTATGGGTGTGGCTTTTGTCTAATGCAGTGAACCCCAGTAAGAGTCACAGGAGGCCCACAAATTTTGAAAGAATTATTAACAGCAGAAACACTGCCAACTTGGACGGAAATAGACAGGGTTAAAGAAAAAGAAGACCCACCGCTGGCCAGCCGATTCTGCCTCACAGCAACCCCCACATGTTACACAGTAGAAATGCTCCATAGGGTTTTCTGGGCTGTAATGTTGACAGCAGCAGTTTGCCAACCCTTCTTCTGAGGTGCCTCTGGGTGGATCTGAATCGCCAATCTATAGCTTAGCAGCTGATCACAAACTACTTGCGCCCCCCAGGCTCCTCGAAATAGAAACAGTGCAAAATTGGACCCCCCAAATTCTACCGGCAGGAAGGAAGACGAGAAAAGTATTCAGCTGCGAACACATTCGAGCTTTCATGAAACACGGAAACCCAGGAGGCAAAACCAAGAGCCGAGAGGGCAGAGTCAGGAAGGATGGAGAATTATTCCCATGCTTGAAGATTTATCCATGAACTTCTAGCATTTCCTGGATTTCAGAACAGCTCTGAACAGAAATGCGTTTAGTGATTACCTCAGGCCTAGCCCACCCTGTACGCTGGGCGTATGGGGAGCAGGTAGCTTGTCTCTTTAGTCTCACAGTCCCACAGACGGAGAGGCGCTCTATCAAGGAGCAATGCTAAGGAACGACAGCTAGGGAGCCTCAGCCACACCTGGACCCGATTCAGATGACAAAATTCAGAACTCTGAGCTGATGCTGTAACGGGACGAGACTTCTGGAGGCCCTGGGAGGGGGTGTTCTGCACACAGGAGGGACGTGAACCACTGGGAGCCAGAGGGCAGACTGTGAAGGCTCCCTGACTCCTGGAATTCACAGTATCATACAGTCTCTTCCTCTTAAGAGTGGGCTAGATTTAGTGAAGGAAATGCAGCACAGGAGATGGGATGTCAATTCTTAGATCAAGTCACAAAAAGACTGTGGCTTCTGCTTAGGTGCATGTTCTCTTGCTCACTCGCTCTGAGGGAAGCTAGCTGCTGTGTTCTGAGCTGCCCTATGGAGAGGCCCATTTGGCAAAGAGCTAACGAGGGCCTCCAGTAACAGCCAGCAAGGAACTAAGGCCCTCCGCCCAACAGTCCACAAGGAACTAAATCCTGCCAATAACCACATTAGTGAGCTTAGAAGCAAATCCTCCCCCAGCTGAGTTCAGATAAGACCTGACAGCCCCGGTCAACAGCTTGACTGAAACCTCATGAGAGATCCTGAGCCAGAGGGCCCAGCTAAGCTGTGCCTGGATTCCTGACCCACAGAAATTACGATACATGTTTGCTATTTTAAGCCATTAAATTTTGGGGTAACTTATTTGATGCATTACATAAGTCACATACCATGTAACAAAATCAAATCACAATCTTTACACACTGGATTCTCTTAAAGTATTGATTATCCATTGTCTTTACTGCCCAGGAATCTTTCCATACTCAAATCCCAGGATGGGAATTCTATTCAACTCACCAGAAGATGAGGGTTAGTTGTGCTATTTTGATGAAATACAAAAAAAATCTGCACATAAAGGCTTCCCTCCACCCTCTAAAGATGTAGAAATGCTGACACACTTTTCTAAACAGTTAAAAACGAGTTCTTAAGAAGGTGAACCTGCAAAAATCTAGTGAAGTGCAAAAGACAAACAACGATGCCTGGAAAAAAACGGAATTACAGAGGTGTCTTCCTGCAGAGTACGCACCCAGGGACCTGAAGAGACAGAAAAGAAGATGATATGGAGAAAGGGGCCAAGGACCAACCTTGTAGTTAGCGTCTGCAAACCCTCTCCAACGACAGGTGTGAAGTTGGGCTCAGAAACAAGCGAGTCCTCACTGGTCTCCTCCAGAGGTGGAGTCTGAGGTAAAACATCAGGACGACCCAGGTGGACACCTAAAAAAAGAAAGAAGGGAAGAAAATCGATAAATAGAAAAAAGAAAATGGAGTAGGGAGAATACAGGGAAACATACGTAGCAACGTGGCTTTTCCTGGACAGGAAGCGGGAGAGAGGTCCTAGCCAATTCAAATAGCGGCTGAGAAGGAAGGGCGAGGGTGCCAGTTACACGGGGACCCCAACCCTGGTGCTGACCTGGCTCTACTTCCGCCTTTGTTGTCACTTGGGCCTTGTGCTCCCCAGGGACTGTTGGCTGGCAGCAGGAGGTGCCGCTGGAGCCCGCTCGCCGAGAGAAAGATGCACCAGACCGAAACTTTTTGGAAGGAGAGGGCTTCACTTCAAAAGGGAAAGAGAGAGCCTACTTAGCACCCACCTCAGAAACCATCACCAAGACACAGACACAAATTGTCAGTGCTCCCCACACCGAAAGCTGCTGTTCTGCAAAGTGGAAAGAAGGGTTAACGGCCACAAAGATGGGCTCCCCTTCAGGGGAAGGGTGTCAGTTCACGTCACTCCGGAAAGCGGCAAGGAACCTGGCGGAAAGGTGCCACAAACACAACATCTCCCCGCTCATACCTGTAACCTGGATGGACCTGTGTTAACCTGATAAAACATCTTCCATTCCATAATTCTCTTCTTTAACAGTATCCTCCAGTGAAATCTAACAAAGATAACCCCTTTGTTCTACATTCTCTTAGTACTATGGACACAGCACTATGACAAGTCACATTTGTTCATATATCACTTTGAAAAGACTTTGGAACAATCTTTCCATGTTTCTTAAGTCTGTCTGGTATGCCTAGGTCCCTCCTGCCTTACGGAGGGACAACCGATGCCTACGATGAGCAGGTGGGAAGGAGGAGTTGGAATGTGCCAGCGGCAGCCGCACGGAAGCGATGGACAGCAGAACACGGGCACTGCCCAACCTAGCCAGCGGAGAGAAGAGACTAAGAACACCTGCTACGGAGAAATCAGTAAATGCTTCTCCGATCACCTGATCCCAGTCTGAGAGTCCTCGGCCCTGGGGATACGGATGGACAACAGAACCCTGGTAACATTCTTGCTCATCTCTGTCCGTAGAAGCCTGGTTCTGCCTACCTCAGCCTGTGGCATGGATCCCACACCTCCAACTATACGTTTTTTTGCAACCTCGCCACTTCCCCAGAAATGCCCCTCACCTCAAGGACACGTCAGGAGAACCAGGGGGAAAGCAGCCACTTGGAAATGACCGGGACAGACAGAGTGACGGACACAAGGACGGGTAGCAGCTCTCACAGGAAGTGGGTGGAGGAGGAGAGGCCTTTGGCCCTGGCAGCTCTCTGACAGAGGTGTCCTGCCCCCCATCTCCTGGGGTAAGGGGGCCACTGGGGGGTCATCTGGTAGAAGCCACTTACATGGGATCTTCTTGAACACTGTGGTGCACATGAAGCGCTGGAATCGTTCAGCGTAGAAGCCCGGGCGATGCACTGACACGGTGTCCTGCAGAACAGAAGGGATGGCTGCAGGGCTAGAAGGGGGAAGCCCAGCAAGGGGGTCTCTAGTCCAAGGGCCACCTTCCCCTCAGCTGAGACCCTAGCAGAAGGGTAGAACCCACAATAAAATAAGGAGGAAATGGAAGAGACTGACAGGGCAGATCAGAAGTGAGGGAGGCAGAGCGGGGAGGAGAGCCTCCAGCTGACTGGTACTTACCCCATCATGTACCAAAGCTTTCCAAGAGTGCTCCAACTTTTTAATAAACCTGCCAAGAAAAGTTCTATGAAGCATTCACATAGTTTTTGAATGAATAACCTTAATATTTTTCTATTTTAGGGGACGAAAGGGGTTGTGGTAAAGAAAAACTTGAAAACTCCGAAGCTGAGAAAGCACGCTAGCTTTCCAGAAAACAGGCCCGACAGTGTTTCTTCAGCATGGGGACCAGTGATGTTTCCAGGGAAGTCAACTCACATCCCACGGGAAGGGTCAGTCGGTACGCCCGTGACAAGTCAGGGAGAGCCAGAGGGACGGACAGGCAAGTTGGAAAGGGGGAGTTAACACTGGATGGTATTCCTCCGGATAGGTCTATCAACAAGTACCGCCCAGTCCTCACTAGGACCAGAAACCTTCCAGGAGCAGAACTGGGGTCTAACATTTCCAACTCCTCTCTCTTCACCATCTCACTGCCCCTTAGTGCCACAGGCTAATATTGTTTACAGAACACGGTGGCCCTCTGCAGAAAAGAGGAACATGTCTCCAGCTATGTCCCAATGTGGGGTGTGACTCATTTCACAGATTTTTCACAGAAGAAGAATCAGACAGATGGTGTATTCTAACCTGGTGCTTCCAGTGACTGACTCAGCCTTCCACAGAAGGTGCATGTCATGTTTGGGGAGGTGCTGGGGGAGGAAACCCAAGAGAGGGCCAAAAACAAGGAAATAAAACTAATGTCTGAAACCCGAGGCTCCAACGACGCACTGTTCTTGCTTCGGGAGTAACCTGGAGACAAACCAATCTCAAAGAGACATGTGAAGGTCTAGCTGCATCCTCCCTGCCCCCGTCTGAGATCCACGTGCTCCTCACCTGTACGACTGCAGAACGTCAATGATGCCGATATAAAGCAGCAACCTTTCCCCTTTACTGTTCCGGGCAGGGATGCCACCCATACTGGGGAAAACAAGGAGGAAATGGTAAGGACACATTTTGGCTAGCAGCTAGAGGCTTCTTCTAACCTTGAGTTGAATCAGGACAGGGAAGTGAGACGCACACACATTTGTTACCGTTTTCCATAAACTGGGGAAGAGGAGGATCCTCCCTTCAGCCCCAAGAACCACCCTCGAGTGTGAATTATACCCTCTTTCTCTCCAAATCTCACCTACCTGCCTCTTCCACCCCAGCCCTACAAAACTGAATCTAAAATCACTCCTGCACAGTAATTCTGAGAATGCTCTCCCAGTTAACTCAGTACATTCTTCTCTTAATTTACGCCTACCTGCTAGGACACTCTTCAAGAGTCACATCATGGGACACCTTAAAAATGTAACCACCTAAAAGACATCTGTGGCATTTCAGCAACTACACTTTCTAGACAGGCCCATGGTGGTCCTTCATAAACAAGTCTATAATAAATTGTTTTTCACAGTCTGAATGCAATCTGCAGACATGTGTATGACTGTAAGTATAATTTTTTTAAGTTTTTTAATCTTGGACAGCTCGCCTCAGATATACTACAAACCCTGAATTTCAGACCTCTTCCTTTCCTTTCGTATTGTTAAGAAAGCTGATTCTACAGTTCTATGAACGTTCATGTTGCTGACTTATCTGCTGAGGCTGTGAACTTACGCCCTCCTTCCTGGTGCCCCTGAACACACTTACTGGTCGTCAGTTTGCATTGTGCCACCCCGTCGGGCCTCGCCCTGGATGGACTCCATGGCTGTGGAATACAGGGCCTTCTGCGGGGCTGGTCTGCGAGTGTCAAGTGAGGGCTGGGCTTCGCTGCCTAAGGGCTCTCGCTGTGCGTGCTCTATGTTGTGGACTGACACCAAAAGGCTATAGTCCATTATCTTGAAGCTCTGCAGCACCTAATGGAAGGAAAAAAGATAATCTAAGATTTGGGTGGTATCAGGCTTTTTTTCAGGATCTCACAGCTTTCATGATAGAATTACTCTTGATGGTGAGCCTCCAGTACTAACCAGAGGATTATCCTCTGTTCCTCCTTCACCTTGGAAGGGAGCCTATTAACCTACTCTAGTCACTCTGTACTCACATCCCCTTAGCGTCCTCACAGCCTAGCCCACAAGTCCTATTTTATTTGTTCTTTCTATGTATCTCTTCATGAAAAGAACATTATATTCTCAAGAGAATAAGGAATATTTATTTGTGCTATAAAGAATCCAGAAGGAGGGTTCGGTAAAAGGACACCTTGTGACAGATCTGCTCTGTCACAGGATCTTGTATTACCTCTTCAGTTCAGTTCAACATTTACTAAATTACCACCATGTGGAAGCACTGTGCCTGGGTATGGCGACTGAAAGATACATAAAGGAGGGTTTTTGTCCTCAAGGGTATTATAACCTAGGAAACGAATGTAAAATAAAGGCAGTACACCTACTATAGGCAATAATGGAAGTAATTACTGATAGAGGAGTACCACAGAGGAGATCAGAAGTGATATACACATAGGTTTATGAGGATAAATCTGGAGCAAAAAGAAGTCCAAGTAAATAAAGAGGAAAAGACTACTCGCAGGGCCTGGAGGCACTGCAGCAACACGGTACCTGCAGAGAGGTATACTTTGGCACTGGCTGAATGTAAACTCAAGGGCTAGCTGTGGCAGATTGGAGGGGCTGGCAGGGCTAAGACAATCACGGACCTGATCCGTCAAGACACGGAGTCTGAACTGTATCCTGACGTTCTAAACCCTCTTCCCACTCCAAAACGGGGGGAAAGGGTACGCTCCCATCAGCTCCAAGAGCTCACTTGCTGATGCAGCTCCACCAAGGGTGTTTTGGTGGGGGTGGAGTGAGAGATGAAGAGAACACAGGACTGATTCTTGCGTGTAGTTTGAAAAAACCCTCTGCCCCCTTGGTTAAGTCTCTAGATCTTGCAACCAGAGGACTCAAACTAAAACAGGCATTATCCTGGAACCAGATGCAGGGTGAACAAAGAACGGCGAGGATGGCCAACGTTAAGGACGAGTAGAGGAAGGTAATTCTGTAAAAGCAGCCTGAGAAAGAATAACCAAAGATGTAGAAAAATCAGCAGGGAGAAGTGTCAGAAAAGCCAAAAGAAGTTATGTTAAGGAGATGGAAACAGTCAAGTGTCAAACACTAGAGAAAGGTCAAGACTTTGACATCGAGGTGACCGTCGGGGGGAGCAGCTTACTGAAGTGGTAAAAGCAACAGCCACGGCATGGTGGGCTGAGCGCGAGTGAGAGATGAGAGAGGAAAAGGAGAAATGGAGCCATCAGCAGATGAGGACACTCACACAGAGTCCTCTTCTGACCCTAAGACGGAAGAGAGGAGTTTGTCTGCATGCAGACAGAACACAGCCAGTAGAGGCTGCAGCCAGAAGAGGGAAAGGATGCGAGTGACAGAGGACAGGAGGGAACGGACCCAGAGCACAACACGGGCTGACGGAATACCCCCCCAAGCTGGGAGAAAGGAGGTTAAGTGCAGACGCAGTAACAGTCTGTCATGGGAGCAGGACAGAGAGACAGGACAACACAGAAAGCTGAGGTGGTTTTCTGAGAAACGAGGAGGAGCATGGGAGTTGGAAAATGGTTTGAAGAGAGTATCAAATATCTGAAATCCCTGCTGAGAGGAACAGAAAATGGATTGATAAGCAATACAGAGGGCCCAGGTGGAGCTGATATCATAAATCTAGAGATGCTAGTACACACAGCTTTTTAGCATCTAGCTTCCAAGATGTAAGTCTGGGAAAGGCAGGTAGGACCAAGATGTGAGAAGTGATGGTACTAATATGAAAATAAGTAGAATGAGGTCCAGGCTAGGTAGGAAAGAAAACACAGCCAGATGGGGGTGATACACAGGGAGAAAGTACAAAGGGAACAGGCGTGGCAACGAGCTAATGTGAAAGCCATTTTAAATGAAGTCTGGGGCATATGGGCTAAGGAACAGAGTCCCATTCCCATGGACTTCAGGCCTAAGAACAACCAGGCTGTTTCAGGGATGGAGATTCTGGGTGCCTGAGAAAGGGAAATGCGACCAACTCACCAAACAGTCACGCTGCAGGGTCTTACACAGAGCATTGTACATGTCAGCATCCAAAAACAGACCATCAGGGATATCTTGCAAGAAGTCCAGGTCTTTAAGGGTGGGGAGAGGCTTCTCTCGCTCTTTCTGGGAAGCCCGTCGTTTGTACGTTGAGCCCTTAAGGTCGTATTTGACGTGCATCTTGACTGACCGTGGTAAGAGATTATTCATCACCACAATTCGGATGTTCTTGCCGCCGGCCTGCACACAATACAGTCCATAGAACTTGGGCAGCAAAGTCCGAGGGTTCTGGTTGAGATTCTGGGCGCACGAAAATAAAGAGCCAGTTAGCTGATTTCAGTGAAACTCAAGAGCAAAAGTTGCCATCTACCCTCTCTGTGTCTCCTCCATGGGATTCAGGCACAATCCGACTGCCGGAAAGAAGCCTCCAATCTATCTATCTCAATGATGGCATCACCACCAAGCTGTGCCACAGCTCCTCCAACATACGGATCAGTCAGGATACTGAATGTATGCTGGATCTCTTCCTCCAACAGGGTTGAAAAAGTCTTACCCTTTACCCCGGCTACAATACACTCTCCTCTAGAACCGCCAAGAGAAATCAGTCAGTGTGAGATGGGATAGAGTACTATCCAGGGAAATAACCCACCTTACTCCACCATCTAAGAGCTGACTGAGAATAGTCACTGAATCTTCCGTTCGGGTAGGACAGTCTAATTAAGCCGAACAACACTTAAAACCAGACAGATAAATGAAACCCCTTTCAGCCATCGAGAGGCAAGAGAGATGGGGCAAAAAGCACAGAAATAAACTATGTTCTCAAGACAGAAGCACTGACATTGTTTTGTCCCACTGCCCGGCCCCGTCCACCCACTGCCCAGCTTTGTCCACGAGCAGGCAGCTCAGGCAGCCAGGCCAGGCCAGGCTCCTCTCCCCCTCACCATGTAATATCCTGGAAGCAGTTTCTGCAGAAACTCTGCTTCTTTATACTGGACTGTCTTAATGATGAATTCATCGTCACTGGATACGTAGAAAAGGGAGCCGCTAGCCCCAGAGCTGCAGAGTTCAATCAGTGGCTCGTTGCAGAGGGAGTACTGGGGCCCAGAGAGAAGACAGGAAGAGGTTCAGAGACACCAGAGATGCAATTCTGTATAAAGAAAAACTGGAGCAAGACTGGGGGGGCGGGGGCAGTGGTCTTCCTTTGGGAGCACCCCTCTGATACTGGCGCCCCAGGGTCCTAAAATCCAGACGCTTACCAAGTAATCATCAGGCCGGATGCCAAATAACTCTCGGAAGTAGCGGAAGGCAACGGGCGCATATGTCTTGAAACGAAAGTCACTGTAGTGATGAGCAGGGGTCAGGTTGCTCCCTTCGCTGTGGAAGGAAATAGAAGAGGCCAGAGCTAGTCTCTGTCATCCAGGGGGTCCACCCTGGGAAGACATTCAGAGTCACCCAGAGGCAGGCCGAGACAGCCCTCCTTCACGAACCAGTGGATTAGATCAGTCAGTTACTTCAGTGTGACAGGAAGGCATAACGTGGGAATGAAGTCACAGGCACAAAAGATGCATGCTACCTCCTAACCCGTGCATTAATGTGTGAGTGCTCACTCTATGGGCCAGAGGCTCATGGAAGGATCTAGGGGTCAGCATCTGTTCTCCAAACTCTCCAGTCCCACATCACCCCGATCTGCCTAGCTGAACTAAACTCAGGTTAAAGGACTGGGCAGGTGACTAAATTAGTCAGGTCTGAACCCCTAAAACATTTCCCAGGACATTTCCCTGAACATTAACCTCTGTACCTGGGGAAGAAGATACTCTCCACCACGTAGAAATCTTGCATGAGGACATCTCGCTCTGGTTTGGTACTCAGGCTTCCCACAGTGTGAGTAATGCCTAACTGGATAGCACCTTTCAAGGCTGATGACGTTGTCTGAGAAACAGAAAGGAGAAGTTTCTAGTATTAAGCCTGACCATAGCAACAAAAACTCAGGCGGGAGGAGCTGGAGGGAACACTTGAAAGCAAATGCCCTTCCAGGAGTTCAGATTAAACTGGGGCAAGCCCACTTCTCTCATGCAGTGCTTTGCACTGCAGTTAAATGCTCAGAAGGGCAGTGAAGATACAGAATTGCAAAGAGGGGACAATGTGAGCCAGCCTCAGCGGGGCAAGGTGCTCATTCCTATCAGCCTGCCTAAATACGAGTTATGCATCTATGCTCGGAAGACACACTGTACTGAGGGAACAATCTTAGCTCTTACTGCTAAGGTTACTGCCTCCAGGGTGTCTCAGGCCCTCCAAACATTTTACTCATCCGACATAGAATGTAACTAAAATTATCCACTATTCTGGTTGACTACCTGGCTACAGAAGCTTCAGTTTTCTAAGGCAGGACCTGACTAGTGTCCCAAGGGCAACGGAGTGGCAAAAAGAGCCCCTAAATGAGGAGGCATGAAAGACTCAAATTATTTCTGAGAAAGTAATATTGAGATTTAGAATTGTCACACTACGGCAACTCGAAACCAAAACACAAATAGAAAAGTCCCGCTCTCACAACCCACGATATCGATCCCTCGGAAAAATACAGCAATGAAATAAAAAATTCATTAATGAAATTACAAATTCACCTCCTCAGTCTTACTGGCCACATTTCTAGAGGCAGCTAGTGGCCACCATACTGGACAGCACAGATACAGCACGTTTCAATCACTGCAAAAAGTTCTATTAGACAGTTTTGCTCTAAATGATTTTCCTCATCTCCAACCACAACCAGACAGTACTTGTATTTCTATTTAGTCCGTGTTACGGATTGAACTGTATCCCCAAAAAATGTGTGTCGACTTGGCTAGGCCATGATTCCCAGTATTGTGTGGTTGTCCACCGTTTTGTGATCTGATGTGATTATACTATATGTTGTAAATCCTAACCTCAGGATTAGAGGCAGTTATGTTTATGAGGCAGGACTCAATGTACATGATTAGGTTGTATATTGAGTCAACTTCTTTTCAGATATAAAAGAGGAGCTAGTAGAGAGGAGAGGGACCTCATGACCACCAAGCAAGAAGAGATAGGAGCAGAGCACATCCTTTGGACCCAGGATCCCTGCGCTGAGAAGCTCCTAGACCAGGGGAAGATTGATGACAAAGACCTTCCCCCAGAGCCAACAGAGAGAGAAAGCCTTTCCCTGGAGATTGCACTCTGAATTTGAACTTCTAGCCTTCTAAACTGTGAGAGAGTAAATTTGTTTGTTAAAGTCACCCACTTGTGGTATTTCTGTTATAGCAGCACTAGAAAACTAAGACAATCCTCACTGGGCATTAAAATTATAACTCATTGTTTATGTGTTTGCCTAGACTAGAAACTCATCTTTTCATCTCAATGTTCAGCAAATAAAAAGGGGTCAATAAATGTCTGTTGAATTGACATGGGTCTCCGTGCCTACTCCAGGGAAAGGTCCCTGACTGAGAATATAGGTCAGTCTACCTCTGCTACCTGGACAATGCAATAAAGGCAGAGAATAGATATAGACTAACGTGGGCCAGAAACAGGACTCTGTTAAGAAATCTTCAGGCCCTGTATCAGACAAGGGACAGATGCAAAGTGGGAAGCTGAATACTACTATCCCTAGGGAAACCTACCCATCTCCAAATCTGTCCGGAACTGAAGAGCTGGGATCACCCCAGGATGCTTCTCTCCTTCATCAGTTCAATTTTATCTTTTTGGCTATTACCACTACCTTTCCACTCTGTTTGATATCTATAGTTCAAAAAGCAGGTGTTCTAGGCACTATTCAACAGCTGAAACTACTATCTTCTTAAAAAAAAAAAAAAAAAGAGAAAGAAAACCACTCAACCTGCTCCCTATCCACTTCATGTACACCCAGCACCAGAGGGAAGACAGAAAGTCTTCAAGTGATAGGGTTCCCTGTGGCAAGGTAGAGAATTGTTCTGAGGGTCTAGTCATACCTTTATACCTAACAGGGAAACCCAGCTTCCTCAGCTTAACAAAATAGCCTCCGACACTAGATTTGTCCATTAAGAACATTCTCACTCCAACACACACATACAAACAGGAGACAATTCACTCTCTGAGAAGTAACTTCTGAAGTTCAGGTTGTATGAAGGCTACAAGGCTTAGGCTATCAAGAAATGGGTTAGAATGTGGGGAATAATATCAGGAAACAGAGCTATCTCCGCTGAGTTCCTGGAGAAGATGAGAGGGTTCCACCCACACACACCTTTTTATACGTTGTCTCTCCTGAAGAATCAACACCTCGGTGGCCTATTTTCTTGATGAGCATGCCAGAAGCATAAGGCACCTAGAAAACGAAGAGTCGAGATTAGTACACCCACGGAATATGCCAAGCAGCTACCCTGCTGGTACAACATCCAAACAAAACAAATCAAAACACTCAACACACCCTTTCAAGGTTAAGAACATTTAATAAAGTCTGTGGAAGACCCACGCTGCACATACACGCAGCTATAATGCTGCCTTCTAAAACATTAACTGGCTAAATTAACAGAGAAAACTCGAAGGGACACAAATGTTACCCTTGGTTCTCCGAAAAATGCTGTAGAAAATAAAAATGAGTATCACTGAAGAAAAGTAGACAAACGGGAAGTAGGGAATAGCAGCCCCAGAAAAAATGAAAAATCTCAGCTCACAAAAGCAAGATAGGTTAAAAGCAGTGTTCCACAGACCCCTTCTCTTTTCACCTGCTTCCTTTAAGAAATTACTATCCCTCTTACCCCTCTAACCCTCAACCCACCCTGAACACCATCTGCTCAAACTCAATTTACCAGCAGAAACGATCCCAGCCACTATCAAATGTAATTCTACAGCCCAAGAACCACAAGGCCAAGGCAGTAAGACAGCTCCACTGAGACAGACACCACAGCGCTTCAACAAGATTCTGAGAAGATGACGTGACTTTGCTTTCCACCCACGTAAGTGCGTGCCCCTGGAAGAAGGGAGAAGACCAGCAGAACAGAAACTAGAAGGCTGTTCCCAGAAGCCAAGGTGCCAGAGCAACAGACATGGAGGCGCTCTTCATTAAGCTGACAAGCCAGAAGGCAAACAGACTAACGCAAACAGGATGTCACAATCTCGCGGCCTGATAGTCAAGTTCTACTTTTCTTGGTAAAGCCCTTAGTACCAGAAAACCCTCGGTATATAACCTGACAGATCTAGGAAGACGTTTGGGGAAAAAACCTAAATCCCAGGCCAAAAGGGCCAGCCCTCTGAGCCCCCTTTCACAAAACCCAGGAGAGAGGCAAGAAATGAGAAATGGGTTAAGAAATACTCCATAGGAAGAAAGTTAAGATAGTCTACACAAAAAAGAGAAACTTAGGAAATTATAGCTTCTGTGTGATTTCGGAAGGTACAGGACTACAAAGCACTAACAGCAAAACAGTTAAGAAAGCTGGCTTTGGTATCAGACTGCCTGGGTGAGTCCAGTCTCACCATTTATTCACTACGTGACTTTGGGCAAGTTATAGAATCTCTAAGCCTCACTTTCTTTATCTGTAAAACAGTGATAACAACGGCACTTACCTCATAGGGTTGTTTTCAGGATTAAATAAGAGTATCTATAAAGGGAAAGGAGGCCTGGTGGCGCAACGGTTAAGCACTTGTCTGCTAACCAAAAGGTCAACGGTTTAAACCCACCAGCCGCTCCTTGGGAGAAAGACTGCAGCCTTGGAAACCCCATGGGGCACTTCTACTCTGTCCTACCAGGTTGCTATGAGTCAGAATCGACTTGATGGCACACATCAACAACATAAAGAGAACTTATCACAGTTTTTGGTACATTAAAAAAAGCTCAATAAATCTCACGTATTAATAATATTCATAACGAACTGCAATAAACATAAAATTGTATAATTTCAGGTCTGTGGGTAGAGCAAACAATTTGCAATTGGCTGCTAACCCAGCAGTGCCCCAGAAGAAAGGCCTGGTGATTTGCTTCCGTAAAGACCCATCCCAAGAAACCCTACGGAGCAGTCCTCCTCTGTAATACACGGGGCTGCCCTGAGTTGGAATCCACTTGATGATCATTGTTTTTTTTTGTTTTGTATAATTTCTAGCCTAGAAGTAAGAGCCCTGTCTAGCTTCCAAAACCTAAGCAGGGGGAAAATAAAGCTATCATAAACAGGTATCCTTCTATCCCAGGATTGGTTTAACAACCATGGTATCGATATGAAACTCACCTCAGATGCCATGGATCTCTTGATTCCAGATGCTGTTTAAAAAAAAAACAACAACAAAACAATTATAAGTGTGTACTCACACAATCTCTGTCAGGCACACTGAAAGAATCAGGGTCTGAATCAAACCAAGTGTGACAATGAGCTCCTGCCTCTTGCTCAGGGATCCCTGGTTCTTAGGGATTTTAAATACCCCTTCCTCCTCCACTGCCTCATTCACAGAGCCCTTACGCATATTCCAGTCTTGCGTTGCCCCTTTTCATACTCAAGTGTTAATATTTTCCCTAGGAAATATAACTCTGTTCTTCATCTATTTAACCGGTAGAGTCACAGGGTCTCATTTGACGGCATGGCTGAAAGAGAAAGGGCTTAAGACATACCTAAGACTCACTGGAAAGTTTGGGGCTCGATTAGAGCTAAAAGGGTAAGAACTCTGAGGCCTATCTATGGTGCTTTACTCCACGTTTACTATTTTGGATGAAAGAGACGAGGAGGATGCAATGAGTCTATGGAGATGAGGAGCTAAGGATGAGAAGATGCAATGTCAAATAATGAAAATCCACTCAGTGCAGCAGAAACTGACTCCTCATCCTAATTTCTGCCGTCAACTCAGCAGAAATTTATTGGTTTAAAATTTACTTACTAAATATTTATTCAGTGCAGACATGAAAGATAAACCTGTGGTTAAATCTCACAAGTATTACTTATGACCTTTACCTACGTAAATTTAATTTAGGAAGAGTTCAAGAGCAAGGATGTTTATGTTTACAAAGTGCCTAAAGAGCGTATCTATGGAAAATGTGCTCTGAAAAGTTAAATCTACTCTAAAGGGCTTGCCATTCCTATGACCTTCATCCATGTGATGCTAAGGGAGACAGGCTTTCCTTCCCCTCATACTGGAGAAAGCTGGTCTTTATCTAGAAAGACGACTGAGACAGCACTTCAACCTAGATCTGAAGGACTCAGATGGAATAAAGATTAGCCATATTAAAGAAAACTAAAAAGAGGAGTCCGACTGGGGTATATCTTCAGTAATGTAAGTTAATATCTAAGTAGAAAGACCTCAGTTCCAGTTCATACATGAGATTAATGGTGAGGCAGTAACAGACACACAGGATTTAGGGCAATCGGATAAAGCTCTAATTATGACTGTTTTGAGACAAATGATCAAGGGCCCCCTGAATTTCAGAACACAGCTGGGCTCAGAGGGAGAGAGGCTGACAGACCTTAGCCATCGACTAAGTACTTACGGGAGCCCTGGTGGCTCCACGGTTAAGAGCTCGGCTGCTAACCAAAAGGTCAGCAGTTTGAATCCACCAGCTGCTCCTTGGAAACTCTATGGGGCAGTTCTACTCTATCCAATAGAGTCGCTATGAGTCAGAACTGACTCGACGGCACATAACAACAACAAGTGCTTATGGTATCAACAAGCGGAGCAGCAAAATGTCTTTCCTCATAGGGAGGCAAAGTACCAAAATATGGGGACAGATGGTTTTCATTTCTCTTGTCCCAAAAAAAAGGGGGCAAGAGAAATGTCATCTAGCTGTTAGAAAGATGTGCTGCATAGAATGACCTAGAAAATTGGAAAGACCAGTTCTCACTACTGCCTCTGTCCAGCAGAACCCACTAATCTATACCTTTTCTAGGATGACTCATCTTCAATCAGGCTGACTTCAGCTGAGTGAAAAACTAGGTAGGTTTAGGGCTGGAACCATTAAGTTAAGGCTTCCAAGGAACAATAAACCAGGACAACTCAGATCTATGATCAAAACTGCTACTTACCGCAGAATTTCAGGTGTCAACCAATAAAACACAGCTGAACCTTTTACATTTTACAAGCCTTTCGGCTGAGAGTCAAAATGCCGAGCTATTGTAAAAGATGACTTGGGTTCAAATCCCCACGTTTTATCAGGCAAATTATACTCTTTATTAAACTAAAAAGGAATCTCTATTAGAAGGTTTATGTAAAGACTAAATGAGATAGTAAAAGCAAAGCACTTTATGGACTGTAAAGTACTACACAAACATGTTGTCATATGTGTGCAGTGCAATGGGTTTCTCTCATATATGGCCTTTCTGGCCTCGGATTTATAATTCTGCCAAAATGACTGCCTAGGCCATAATCTTACAACACACTGGTCAGTATACTATGGGAACAGGATGCGTAAAACCACCCAATAGGATTAAGAGACCTTTCGGGAATTGGTCGATTACTATGCAAATTCCCTAACTGGGGTCTACCAAGGGGATTGCTCAATTCGTGGTCTGGCTGGGAGGGCCATGCCTTGAAATTGAATATAAGGGCCAATCCCACAGAGGTTGAGAGGGACCTCACTACCGTCAAGGAGAATCCGGAGCAGACCACGTCCTTTGGAACAAGGACCCGGGGTACCTGTGCTGAGAATCTCCTAGACCCAGGAGAAAGAGAGCTATAACACTGAAGACAACGCAAGCAGCAGAGAAATGGCTGCAACCTCGGCAGAGCCCAGCAGCAGAGAAACAGCTGCAGTGGCTTGCCAACCCACCCGAGTCAGAGAGCTGAGCACCTTCAAGCAGGCTTACTGGTGGAGTGGTGTGCCTCTGGGCACTTGTCAGTGAAACTAAAGAGTTGTAACACTTGTACAAGCAGGGCAGACACCTGGAGAAGGGCCTGCTGGCTGGCACGCCAAGGGAAGGGTCTGCTGGTTGGTACAGCCAAGAAAAGGGCCATCAGCTGGTGTGGCTAGGAGAAGGAACATCAGTCAGTGTGGCGGAGACAAAGGCCGTCGGCTGGCATGCTGCGAGAAGGGTCTGCCTGGGGGCATGGCCAAGAAGGAGCGGAGAGCCACGTCTTGACTGACAAACTGTATCCTGTCTCCTGAGTTGTATCCTGTTATTTCCCTAATAAACCACATAATCGTTGAGTACGGTCTGTGAGTTCTGTGTGGCCACTGCAACAAATTATTGAACCTAGCAGAGAAGTAGAAACTGCCATGGGGAGGACGGCTGGTGTCAGAAAAGGCGAAAAAGTTGGGAGAGTGGCAGTATATCTGACCTCCACCTCACAGGAATCAGCTTTGTGTTGATGCTGATTCTCACTCCTCTTCTTGAAGTTAGGCAAGTTCAGACGCTACTAGATTACAATGTGATTTCCAATGCAAAAGCAATGTTACATCCATAGCAAGGCTTAATGTTCAATTACCTACATCTTCATGAAATTCCAATTAGCATCCCGAGGTACCTGCCTAGTCCCAAACTCCTCAGGGCCCAGCTCCCCACCCCACCACGTGCACGTGCACGCACCTAACTCCAGAATCAGTGGTTCTCAATGAGGAGATCGGTTGCTTTTGGTTGAAGACAAACACTGATGCTGGATTCCGTGGTCAGTACCTGGCCTATCCCTTCCTCTCTTACTCCAGAAGGGGTCTGGAGGGAATCTGGCAGAAACAAGAGGCAGCACCCAGTCCTAGGCTGGCAGTAACACCTAGAAAACCATCTCTTCTGTATGCAAGGAGTCAGTGGCCAAAGTTAAGCAATGGAGAGAGAAGTTAATTCCAAGGCAGAGAAGAAGTCTGGGGCTTTCTTACTTCTTAAAAAGTTCTACTTTGCTACCTTTCCTAGTTTTATCACACAGAACATGTAGCTCTAGGGCTGCTACACTCTTGCAGAGTATCCAGAATGTGGGTGGGAGGACTTCAGAGAGTAGAATTCTGGTGTCAATCCCTTTGTTATCTGCACCTGTGAAACAGTGAGTCATCCCCAAAGCACTATAGCTGAAGGAGGAAGAAAGGGAGATAACGGCATATAAACATTAACACTCAAACAAACAGACACAGGAAGTAGGAGAAGCGACACCCAAGACTTAACTCTCTTCCTTGCCTTAAGTTTTGGCCCTAGGATACAGATCAGAGACCCAACCTACTACAGAAGAGAGGAGAAAAAAAAAAACCCTAGAGAATTTTACTAATCTTGCTGTAACACCCAGCTTGGCCCAGAAACCCAATGAAGAGCACAGTGGCGGTGCAGGGAACCAGGTATCATCTACTAAGACCTGACCACTTGGCCCAAGGCTCTGCCAATGAGAAACTGTCTACGGCCGTAGTTGAGGAGGCTGAAGAGTCAGCAGCACTGCACCTGTTTATCTCACTATCAAGCCTTCTGTTCTACAAGTCCCCAAGCATTTTATAACTGTGGCAGACAACGTCAGCAAAAAGGGAAGAGAAAACGAAAAGAAGAAGAAGAAAAGGAGCAGGAGGCGGGAAGAAGAACGAACACCAACTCAGCAGGGCAACACCTGGCCTGGTGATGCCAGTTAGACAACATTTAAGAATCAGACTTATCTGGTTATGTGATTTCTAATGCAAAAGCAATGTTACATCCATAGCAAGGCTTAATGTTCAATTAGGATAGGACCAGAATATTCTTCAGCAGATTTGTTTTGTAGCATCTCTGTGAAAAGTACTCTGATAAGTACACTGCCATCCCATAATTTTCTCTTTTCAGGTAAGATATATATATGTAGCTGTGTGCTGCAGAGTCCATTCCAACTCACAGTGACCTTGTATGACACAGTAGGACTGCCCCCATAGGATTTCCTAGGCTGCCATCTTTGGGAGCAGACTGCCAGGCCTTTTCTCCTGCGGAGCAGCTGATGGGTTTGAACTGCCACCAATCTTTCGGTTAGCAGTGCAGAGTGCTTTATAGTGCAGAGGTGTAATATTAAAATTCACTCTTCCTCAGGGGGAAATCTTTTTCCTGAAGATTTTGGGACCTACCTCTCCCCATCCAAGCCAAAAACTCTGAAGGATCATTATTAAAATGTCTACATTATCATCAGTCCATACTAGAAAACTGGCATATGCTACAAGACGGGAGAGCACATTACCCAGGTGTGGGTATCCTCACACCCAGCATACAGGGTGATAGCTGGGCTATAAATGCTACAGAGAGGACCCTAGACCAGCTTCCCCTCATTGGCTCAATTCTAATACAACTCACCACTAGTTCAATATCAAATTATTTCTGCTTTTTTTCCCATCACTCTGGCATTTCCACATTGTCTTAGTCATTTAGTGCTGTTATAACAGAAATACCACAAGTGGATGGCTTCAACAAAGAGAAATTTCTTTCTTCACAGTAAAGTAGGCTAAAGTTCAAATTCAGGGCGTCAGCTCCAGGGGAAGGCTTTCTCTCTCTGTCAGCCTTCTCATCAATGTTCCCCCAGACTAGGAACTTCTCCACTCAGGGACCCCGGGTCCAAAGGACACGCTCTGCTCCTGGCACTGCTTTCTTGGTGGTATGCAGTCCCCCGGTCTCTCTGCTCACTTCTCTCTCTTATATCTCAAGAGACTGCCTCAGGACACAATCCCATCTTGTCGATTAAGTCCCACCTTACTAACACAGCTGCAGCCCATCCTCCCTCATTGACATTAGAGAGGCAGGATTTACAACATATAGGAAAGTCACACAATACCAGGAATCATGGCCCAGCCAAATTGATACATACATTTTTTTGAGAACATAATTCAATCCATGACACACTCTCTTATTTATCCTTACTGTTGACTATATGACTAAACTGAAACTCTGATACGTTTTAATTTCTCTTCTCTGGTCAAATACTTTACATTTGTATAGCACTTTAAAAGCTTATACACATCCAAACTAGAGTGTTCCTGTGGAAGGATCTTGCTGGTCCCAGTTACCCCGGGCTGGTTCCTCTGCCTCCTCATTGATTCAATGAACTAGTCACTATCCTTCCATGAAGTCCTTTCCTGCTTGATTAGCCAGTCACGAGCCTGGACTAGACATTTACCTCTAATAATCAGGTGATGCGGCTGAAATAGAGTGCAGATATGGAATTGGCCACCGCCAGGGAGAACAGTGGTCCTGAGGGAGGACACTTATCTGAATCACCAGTGGAGCTTTAAAAACAGGCACATCGAGTCTCTACTCCCAAAGAGGTTTAGTCTGGGTAGGTATATCTTTTGTTTTTTAAAACAGTTAATAAATATTTATTTTAGAAAAACAGTTGTTTAAAGCAAACTTAACATAAATTGCTAACAAAAGTCATAATTTTGTGGCACTAAAAACATTTATTGAAAAATAGCGAGTTACTTTTTAAACCTTGAACAGAAACTATCCCGAGGTCACCTTTTAGTGAAATAACAGATTGGTGCACAAAATAAAGGATATTACCTGTGAGTACGGGGCTCCATTAAAAACCATCTATATGAGACCAAATGGTCAACAATTACTTTAAAGCAAAGATGAGAAGATAAGCGGGCAGGGAAACTGGGGGACTGGAAACTGAACCACCAGAATGCAGTTAAAGAGAATGTTCCCATATTGTGAAAAATGAGCAATCTGTACACAACTGTCACATAGGAGCTAATTTGCTGTGTAAACTTTCACCTAAAACACAATAAAATATTATTTTAAAAAAGAAAAAGAAAAATATCAAGAGTGGAAAAAGTGAACTTGATTCCACAAGAAGACATGTATAAACATATTCTTAGCAGCTTTATTCATTACGAACCCAAATCAGGAATAACCCAAATGTCTCTCTATAGGAAAATGGATAAACTGTGGCACACTCACACGGTGTAATACTACACAGCATTTAAAGAAAAAGCAAAAAACAACTAACTAGTACCAGACACACCAACATGCCGACTGAAAGAAGGCAGGCACAGAAGAGTGCGTGCTGTCTAATTCTATTTATGTGAAGTTCAGTAACAGGCAAAACTAATAACTTGACACTAGAAGACAGAATAAAGGTCACCTTAAAAGGCATATGGTCTTGGAAGGAGCATGAGGGAACCTTACGTGGTGTTGGAAATGCTTTATATCTTCATCTTGGTGGTGGCTGCATAAAAACCCAATTCTGACTCATAGTGACCCTAAGGGACAGAGTAGAACTGCCCTCTAGAATTTCCAAGGCCGTAATTTTTACCGAAGTAGACATCTTTCTCCCACGGAGTGGCTGGTGAGTAAGAACTGCTGACCTTTTGGTTAGCAGCCGGGCACTTGGCCACGGTGCCACAAGAGCTCCTGGGAGGTAGCACAGGGGTAAACATAATAAACCACCACCAATCTATCTACTTGAGATTAACACACAATTTAGGTACTTTATACATGTTAATGCAATAAAAAGTAAGTTAGTTTACTTTAAAAAAAAAAAAAACTTATAAACATAGCTCATTTGACCCTCAAAACAAGACTACAGGGAGTGGACACTTTTTTAACTATGGACTTAAACAGACATCTCCACCAAGTAAAATGTGAGAAAAAACCCACAAAACCCTGTAAAAACACATTTCTGAGACAGTTAGGAATCACAAAAGAAGAAATCAGATACAGGTATACCTCGGAGTATTCCTGGTTCGATTCCAGACCACTGCAATGAAGTGAGTCACAGGAATTGTTTGGTCTCCCAGTCCGTATAAAAGTTATGCTTACACTATCCTGTAGTCTACTGAGTGTGCAATAGCATTATGACCGAAAAAAAATGTACATACTTTGATTAAAAAATACTTTACTGCTAAAAAATGCTAACCATCATCTGAGCCTTCAGCAAGTCAATCTTTTTGCTGCTGGAGGGTCTTGTCTCGATGTTGATGGCTGCTGACTGATCAGGGTGGTGGCTGCAGAAGGCTGAAGTGGCTGTGGCAATTTCTTAAAATGAGACAATGAAGTTTGCCGCTTCAACTGACTCTTCCTTTCACGAAAGATTTCTCTGTAGCGTGTGATGCTGTTCGACAGCATTTTACCCACATTAGAACTTCTTTCAAAATTGGAGTCAATCCTCTCAAACTCTGCGCTGCTTTATCAACTAAGTTTATGTACTCTTCTAAATTCTTTGTTGTCATTTCAACAAAGTTCACAGTATCTTCACCAGGAGTAGATTCTGTCTCAAGAAACCACTTTCTTTGCTCATCCATAAGAAGCAAGTCCTCATCCATTAAAGTTTTATCATGAGAGTGCAGCAATTCGGTCACATCTTCAGGCTCCACTTCTAGTTCTAGTTCTCCTGCTGTTTCCACCACATCTGCAGTTACTTCCTCCACTGAAGTCTTGAACCCCTCAAAGTCAGCCATGAGAGCTGGAATCAACTTCTTCCAAACTCCTGTTACTGTTGATATTTTGGCCTCTTCCCGTGAATCACGGATGATCTTACTGGCATCTAGAATGGTGAATCGTTTCCAGGTTGTCAGTTCACTTGGCCCAGATCCACCAGAGGACTCACTATGTACGGCAGCTATAGCCTCACAAAATACATTTCTTAAATAACAAGACTTCAAAGTCAGAATCACTCCTTGATTCATGGGCTGCAGAGTGGATGTTGTGTTAGTAGGCATGAAAACAACATTAATTTCCTTGTATATCTCTACCAGAGCTCTTGGGTGACCAGGTGTCCTGTCGGTGAGCAGTAATATCTTGAAAGGAATCTTTTTCTTCTGAGCAGTAGGTCTCAACAGTGGGCTTAAAATATTCAGTAAACCATGTCGTAAACCGATGTGCTGTCACCCAGGCTCTGTTGTTCCATTTACAGAGCACAGGCAGAGTAGATTTAGCGTAGTTCTTAAGGGCCCTAGGATTTTCAGAATGGTGAAGGACCACTGGCTTCAACTTAAGTCATCAGCTGCACTAGTCTCTAACAAGAGAGTCAGCCGGTCCTTTGAAGCTTTGAAGCCAGGCACTGACTTCTGCTCTCTAGCTAGCAAAGTCCCAGATGCCATCTTCTTTCAATATAAGGCTGTTATGTCTACACTGAAAACCTGTTGTTTAGTGCAGCCACCTTCATCCGTTATGTTAGCTGGATCTCCTGGATAGCTTGTTGCCCCTTCTCCGTCAGCACTTGCTGCTTCACCTTGCACTTCCATGTTATGGAGACGGCTTCTTTCCTTAAACCTCATGAACCAACCTCTGCCAGCTTCACACGTTTCTTCTGCAGCTTCCTCACCTCTCTCAGCCTTCACAGAGTTGAGGAGAGTTGGGGCCTTGCTCTGGATTCGGCTTTGGCTTAAGGGAATGTTGTGGCTGGTTTGATCTATCCAGACCACTAAAACTTTGTCCATATCAGCAATAAGGCTGTTTCTTGTTCTTATCATTAGTGTGTTCAGTGGAGCAGCACTTTCAATGTCCTTCAAGAACTTTTCCTTTGCATTCACAACTTGGCTAACTGTTTGGTGCAAGAGGTCTAGCTTTTGGCCTATCTCAGCTTTCGACACACCTTCCTCACTAAGCTTAATCATTTCTAGCTTCTGATTTAAAGTGAGAGATGTGCAACTTTTCCTTTCACTTGAACACTCAGAGGCCACTGTAGGGTTATTAATTGGCCTAATTTCAATACTGTCATATCTCAGGGAATAGGGAGGCCCAAGAAGAGGGAGAGAGACAGGGGAACGGCCGGTCGGTGGAGCAGTCAGACAATGTTCACCATCTTATATGGGCGTGGTTCATGGTACCCCAAAACAATTACAATAGTAACATCACTAACCAGTAATCATAGAGACCACCATAACAGATACAATAATGACAAAAAGTTTGAAATATTGTGAGAATTACCAAAATGTGACAGAGACACGAAGTGAGCGCATGCGGTTGGAAAAATGGCGCCGATAGACTTGCTCGATGCAGCGTTGCCACAAACCTTCAATTTGTGAAAAATGCAGTATTTGCGAAGCACAGTAAAGCGAAGCGCGATCAAATGAGGTATGCCTGTCATTACAGTTAACTTTCTAGATGTGATTATGTTAAAACTCCCTTTATCTGCACATACGCAAAGAGTCCTTATATGTAGAAATACATACGGAAGCATTTATGGATGAGATCACCTAAGGACTGGGCTTGCTTTAAAATATTCCAGGGAGTAGAGACGGGGGAATGGGCAAGTATAGATGGAAGAAGATTGGCAAAATGTTGCTGTTGAAACTAGGTGATAAATACATGGAAACTTACCATACTATTCTTTCTACTTTGTGTATGACTGAAATTTTTCATAACAAAGTTTAGGGGGAAAATAATTTAAGCTTAGAATACAAAGCAAATCTGGACAATCAAACTTCTTCATCTCAGCCGACTTCTTTCTGAAAGGTTTTCTCAGGGAAAACTAAGCATTAAGGTTGAAGT